AAAACAGATAGGTCCCTAATGCTGCAGGAAGACTTGGTTTGCCAGGGGTATCTCAGAGCTCCCAGATCATTGGTGACCCCTGTGGGGCAGTTGCCCAGGGGTCTGTTGAGGTAGCAGAGGAGGATCTCCACTTTCTCTTCATGTCTGGAAGTGACAGCAGCAGAGCAGGGAGCACCCTCAGCACCACTGGAACTGAGGGGTGAGGCGCACCAGCAGTTGGGTGTTTTGGGCACAGGCCCAGGCAATATGATGTGCTGGTGTAGCTGGTGCTGGGCTCTGCAGGCTGCATCATGGTGCGGCTGAGCCATGCTCCCTGCAGGGTTTTTGTGTTGCTTTCATGCTCCTGAGCTGGAATTCAGATTCCAAACCCACACCGCCTCTGAGGACAACAGTACTACAGCCTCAGTGGTGCTTTGCAGGGCTCGTCCCAAAGCTGACTGGAGTCAGTGAAGCAATTCCCATTGCTTCACACTGTCTGGGTGGGCTTTGGGAGCCCAAGAAAGCCTACCACAGACAGGGTCACGGGGAACATGAAATCCTGTGCCTTGGGCCATGCCTGAGTACTCCATTCCTCAGTCATGCACCTTGCAGAAGAGGCCGTTTGTGGTCATTTAAACTTCAGCTTTCCAAGCGTGCAGATGAAGGCAGCGGGATGGTTTCCACACCTGGTTTCACTCCTGGCTCACACACATGCTTTCACTTTCTCGGGTTTTGCTTCCCCAGGTTGCTCCAGGCTCTGCCCTTGCCCCCAGCCCTACCTGCACCTTCCTTCCCCACCACCCTGGGCACCAACATGCCACTGGGCAGATCACAGGCACCTCCTCTGAAATCAGGAGGATGACGCTGGGGAATTTTGGCCATGGTGTCACACAAGTGTTAGGGCCACACCTCGGTGGCTGCTGATAAAAGCTGGGGGTTTTGGAAGCGTTTAGTTACTGCTTCCTGACTCCTGGTGGTAAACTCTGGGTTATTTTGAAAGCAGGACCGGGGAGTTAAAACAGCAACACCAGCACTGCACGTTGCCTTCCAGCAAGTTTAGGTGCTAATGCTTGGTCGTATCATCTTCAAGCACATCATTCCCCCCATGCTACGTGCATGGACCTAATAATTATGGGAAAACAACCTGCAAGCTCTCCTCTGCAATGGTTTCTTCTTAGGCTGCTTTTCGGGGCAGCTGCAGGGATTTTACTGCTGAAACTCCATCCTGCTGCCCTTCCATAGCATTGCTGCTGCCCTGTGGCACCTTCCTCTATCATATTTCTGCCCTTAGCCTGAAATGAAGTAAATACTGGCTATGGCATTTCTGCTGCTTGTTTTTTTTCGGTTTACACATCCCACTAATAACCAGCCAAATCCAGCTGCTTCTTACCATTGCTCCTGTTCCTGTAAAGCAGATGTGCCATTGAAAGGAGCCTGGCTCACTGTACCCACTGTTTCTCTTTAACAGCCATGTGCTGTGTTTTCCCATAAACTCCTAATCTGTGGGGGTTGGGTCAGGTAAATACGATCCCCATCAGTTTTCTGGTTTCTGTGCTGGATGCTATTTCTGCAGAGGTTGTCATTCCAGACAGACCAAAATAATTTAGTGTCTGATTCTTGGGGTTTTCCTTCCTTGTTTTCACTCTACCCTTCAGAGTGCTGTGAACACTTGGGAATGAAGTGAGACACTAATTGATGGCTTTCCCCAGTTACATTTGGCGATTCTATGCAGAAAGAAAAAGCAGCAACCCAGGTTCAGACTAAACACAACTCAGTCAAGGGAACAGTTCCTGAGTGAAGCTTGACCTCCTGGTCTGGAGCAAAAGCCACTTTTCCTGCGCTGCCAAGCCACTGCTGGTGCTGAGCTGTGAGGGCTTTGTCGCCATGTTTGAGGGTACATTTAAGCAGAAGTGCATTATGGAGCCTTCATTCTTTTCTCAAGACACGTTCCCAGAGGCTGTGAAATGCTCCATGTTGGGAAGCCAGCTCTGCTCCGGCATCCGCAGAAATCTTACTGCCCACTTGCAGCCTGTGGCAGCAGGCGGGGAGGAAAATCAGGAGGGAATCAGGTCTGTGAAGTCACTTACAGGCACCTACCAAAGGTAACAGAGAAACGAGTTGTTCAGCACTTTAAGTCAAAGGATTTGGGTTTTTTTCCCTCCAGGATTGTAAAAGTAGATGAGAGAATGAGGGCTCCGGAAAAGCTGAGTATTTTGCAGTTTTGCCCCAAGGAAGGGACTAACATCCAAGTTGCAGACTGGCGTGTGCTGATCTGCTGCCACTTTGATTGCTTCATCACCAGGAATGAATGAACACCCCTGTTTTCTGCTTGGAACCCCAAAGTGGAGCTATCGGATGAAATACATGCATGGATGAAGAGAACAAAACAACAGGGAAAACGACTGGTGGGGCCCAGTGGGAGGACCAGAGGCAATGGGCACAAACCGAAACACAGGAAATTCCCTGTGAGTATCAGGAAATGCTTTTTCACTGTCAGGGTGACCGAGCACTGGCACACGTCGTACAGAGAGGTTGTGGAATCTCCATCCTTGGAGATACTCAGAAGCTGTTTGGACACGGTCCTGGGCAACCTGCCTTAGGTAGTGGCCCTGTTTGACAGGGATGGTGGACAAAATGCCCTCCAGAGCTGCCTTCCGACCTCCCCCCTTCTGTGATACTGTGGCCACCCCGAGCACATGCTCATTTTACCTAGGCTTGTGCAAAGTGAAGTCTGGTAGATTGACTAAATCCCAGCTTCTGTTACGATGTCAGCTTCAGGATGAAACCCCCACAGAAGCATGCAGATACAGAATGAAGAAAGAAAATAACACAGATTTTAGTGAGTATAAACATTAACTGCTGAACAGATGACTTCCAAAGATAGATCAGTTGGCCTGTGGGCCCTGGGCTCTTCAGGAGGGAGTTTCACTGGGGTTCAGTGTTTTGGGGAGACAGCCAAAGCAGGGCCCTGTGCTGGGGTAGGGGCAGCCCCAGGAGCCCCCACCCTCAGCCTGGCTCACTATGTGTTGGAGCCCAGCCTGATCTCTGCAATCACTGACAGCCTCTTCTGAGGGCCAGCAGGAGGAAGAAGACAGTTTTTGAAACATATGGTCTGTCAGCAGGGGGAATCGTTGGGATGCAGATCAGTCCCCTTGCCTTGTGACTGGGAAATGGGTGGCACATGCCGCCATGAGTCAGGAGGAAGGAGCCAGCTCCTGACCAGAGCTGTCCCACACCTACTCGCAAGGGCAGCAAAAGGAAAACCTGCCTTCTTCCAGCCTCAGGACAAAGGCATGGAGCCTTTCCAGATCCAGACCTATTCATCAATACTGTGCAGTAGCAGAGGCTATGATGACCTTCCATCGGAAGAGAGAAGAGTCCCAGCAGGCATGCAGCCAGAGTCCCGGGCTGTGCCGTGTGTTCCATGCAGTTCCCAGTGCCACAGGTGACCTTGGCTCTCTGTCCATCTCCTCAGCCGCTCTTCCTTCCGCTGATAGGATGCTAATTGCTGCTAAGATTTTTCCAGTTGAGCACAGGACTGTGCCTTAGTCATCCGAGCAAGCCCCTTCCTCCCTTTAAAGTTTTCCCATGCTTAATTTGACTTTGTATCAGGAGGAAATGACAAGTCATGTCACATTTTTCATTCCAAGTGTTTCATACTACTTCACTCTACCTAAAAGCACAGCGTCTGAGCGGGAAAGCACAATGAACTCATGAAGTATTAGCAATAGGAAGTGACATTTTTCCTCCTTTTGTTCAGTCAGTTCCCTGTGGACTGCAGCTAAAATATTGGAGACATTTTATTTAAAGACAGGAAAGTTGTGTTTTCAGCTTCAGTACATTTCTGGTTTAATTTTCTATCTGACTGAAACCAAACCTGGCTTGGCTGAACAGTTTCAAAGTGAAGATTATGATCTTATAAAAAACCACCTGAGGATAGAACCTTCAACCAAGTGCTGGCTCTAAACCATGCTTTAATATCAGAAAAACTAACACAGCATTTCACTTAGGAAGTGATGTTCTTAGTATGTGTCAGCTCCAAGAGTCTTTTATGAAAACAGCCATTTTCAAGCTCGTGCTTCACAAATTTGCCAGCACAGGAAACAGCAGAATCACATCTTGGGCAGTATCTATCTCCTGATGTTTCAATGGTGCCTTTTTCTTAACAGGAGAGCACTGAACGTCTTGAATGCAGATGGATTTTTGCCCTTATGGCCATTCTTCAGAGGAGTTTTCTTCCTAGGGCTAGTCCTATCTGCTGGCCATGTGCTTTAAGAAAGGAGACTTGGAGAGTATTGTGAAATCTCTCTATGTCAAAGTGTGCCTGACTCCAGGTGCTGTTGTATTACAGTCAAGAACGCTGCTACAAAGGAAACTAATTCTCAAACCATGACAATTTTCACTGAAATACTGTGAACTTCTTTTTAGTTTCCACCCTAGAGAGCCTGAGAGGCTTCTTTCACATCTCTCTTCTAAGTAACTGCACCAACTGGGCTCAAGTGACCTGAACTTAAACCTCCTGTAACAATGCTCACTGTTAGCAGTGGAATGGGTCTTACTAGGGAAAGGCTGGGTTAAGGAAACAGCAGAAAAGCTTCAAGAACCTGCGTTTAATCTTACTTTGTCTCGTTCATGCTATTAATAATACTTGCATTTCTCATCAACAGAGCACGTTCTCATTTAATTTATGAGCTGCAGCACACTAACTAGTTACAAGTGCCATATCCTAAGGCAGAAGGTGTTTCTCCATCTTATGCTGCTTAAATGTTTTTTCTCCTTTTTTAATATTCCTTAACCTGCATATGGCAGTTGATCCCAAATTACAGTGAAAAGTGATTCATAACATGACAAAACTGAAAGCCTGTAAAAGGGTTTCTCACAGAATGATTTATAGACAGTCAAGGGTTTGAAACTCTTTTATTGCATATATTTCTTCTTACTTTACAAATAATTATGTGATTGATACAAATGTTCCTTCACAGAAGGTACATTTCTTTTTTTAAAAAAAAAGGGCTAGGGCATCATCCAAAATAAGCCATTTATTGTTCATGAATATAAAACGTATCCATATTTCTAGGAGGTGTCATATCCAAACCACTGTTCATCCAGATTTCTTGTATGATCTGTTCCCTGCGCTCTATCCTTTCGGCCAGTTCTGCTGCCTCTGTTGAATTGTAACCTGAGTAAGAAGGTCTGTAAAGTTCCACTATCCCATCCTGGATGTCCGAATCAGAGGAACCCTCCTCCTCCTCTTCCTCTTCCTCATTTTCACTGTTACCGTGCACTCTAGTACTTTCTGGCATTAAGGGATCCTTCTTTCGGTGCAGTTTCTGGAAGTCTCTTGAGCACGACGTGCGGATCACCAAAGCACACAGCGTGAAGATTAATCCCACGCAAACACTGGACAAAAACAGGAGCGCGGCTCTTTCAAGGTGATCTGAAATCAGGAAGCCAGTGCTTAGACACTTTATAAATCCCTGACAAATCCCAGCTGCAAAAGAAGTCAGCTGTCATTTCCAAAGTGCCCCACATTACATAGCCATAATGGTGCAGTGTGCTTGGGAAGATGGGGAGTTGGAGGAGGCCTTTTCCAGCATGCACCGAAACCACCGTGCACTTGCCATCTGAAGGCTGCCATCTCTGACACTTCAAATTACTGTGCAGAACAACCCAGCCTCTTAATAACGTTATAAATTAACATTACCCTATCTTGTTATTAGCAGCTTACTAACATTCTCAACCAGCTACCAGAAGCATACCCTCTTTTTTCCAGCCATCCTGCCAAAACAGGCCTTACCCTCATGAAGAAGGGGCAGGGGAAGAGAAACTCTGGGCTCCGCAGAGCCACGGAAGCATCTCCAGACCAGGCTGAGTAGGGAGCATTTTTCTTGCTTGACATAGCCTGAGATCACTTCTCGGTATAGTAACAGGTGAGACAGATGTGGCAACGGCCTTTCTCAATGGGTTGTAAAACCCAGCCCTGGCTGCTCGGGGTATTGCCCAGGGGGTCTCAAGGGTGGTGTGGTCTGGGGGTTTGGGGAGAGCTACCGAGGGCAGGCAGGTGACACAGCAGGGACAGTGTCTCGCTGTGCTGTCAGGCTGTGGCCACCCTTGGGGCTGCCCGGGGAGGCCCTTGCAAAGGCTGTGGGATGATGCTCGACAGCTGCCTGGTTCTTGGTGTTTTCTAGAAGAGCAGCGACTTTAGCTCCAGAATCGCTCTCAACAACAGCCTTTGCTCACTTCCACAGTCTGTGAGCTCTCCCGTGTTGCTGGAGATCTGGTAATTGCAAATTTATTTGCCTTAGTGTTGCTAAGTCACAAAACCTGCCACGTCCCACACCAGGGATGGCTGGGTGTGGGTTGGTTTGGTTTTATTTTTACTGTTCCTTGATGATCCTTTTATGTGTGCAAACCAACATTCCCAAAAATGGATGGCTCCAGCACTGCTCCCAGGTCAGGTTTTCAAAAATACTGAACAATCAACAGTCCCCATTGAAAATATTTATTAAAAAAAATCTTGGCTGCAGTCTCTTAAAGAGTTTGGATCCTTCAAGATGGAAAATATTCTATAAATATCAGTTATGCTGCAATTGTCCCATCCACAAGGCTGTGACTATACTGTAATAATATCATTACTATAAACATGGGATTACCAGTTGTGACCTTCTGAGATAATCCTCCTTTTCCCAAAATGCCATGATCTAATGAGCCAAACAATCTCAGCCTCAGTTTCCTACCTCTAATGTATGCAAATGTAGCCAAGTAGTTGCTAAAAATAATTCCATCTTTCTTTGGAAGTCTGGATTCCTTTGGATCAAGGTCGACACCTGTGACACAAGGAGGCAAAGCAAATTCAATCATATCACAGATGAGGAAGCTACTAAACTCATACTCACGCAATATTCACCCAGTAACTTTTAAACTAACAAGTCTACCTAAAATACAGGCAGGCCAGTGCTGTGCCATAGAAACCTTGCAGGACATTATAGCAAACAATAGTAGGTAAATAAAATACTTTAAATATTGAAATAAAATATAAAAATCAAAGTATTGAAAATGCTGAATGAAGATGGCAAGTTTATTTAAAAGAATGTATTACCAAGGGAAACCCCTTCCCTATTCCCATCGAGGTTTCTGAAATTATTTTCCTTCTTTAAGCTTCAGCTCTCAAATGGATTTCCCAGCCCAATCACTGCAGTACACTCCCATTACTGATGACAGCGACTGTGCATCAGCCACATAATTCATTTAGTTGCGTTTAAGAAGAGCAGGTGTTGACATAACTCTTGAAAGACATCACCCTGAAACCACTGCAGTTTCACTCTTCCTTTTCCCAGTGTTCAACTAAAGTTGGAAGCAGCGCACTGGTTATGGGTAGGTCTGAACAGCCCACTCCTTTCGCAGCATTGCTATGACAGCAGGACCATGCTCCCGTGGGTCCCATCCTGCTCCCAGCCTGTCATGTTGCCCTCTGAAGGGAAGAGCAGCTGTTTGAGCAGGGTTTCCGTCACCTTGTCCCACCTCCCTCAGACCAAAACCAAAGGAAAGCAGCAAACCCTGTATTTTGATGGCACATACCATCATTCTGCTTGACGGAAGACCTGTTATTGGTGACCAGGGGGTTGAAAGCTGTCAGGATAAACTTAGGAACTAAAAAGACAAAAGACAAATTATGTACTGTTAGTTTTAAGAACCAGATCCCCAGTTAGTTACCCACCCCACTGCTAGCCTCGGGTTTATATTAATAAATTGGCTTTCCGATGGTGGTATTGAAGGGATTGGAGCAGGCAGCTGCATCTGGACACAAGTGCCAGCCCTGCCAGTGTGCAAGCCTGGCCCTGGCACTGCAGCCAGCCTGAGCTTCCTCAGTGGCCCAGAGATGCTCGCACCCAAAGGCTGTGAGTGTTTGCAGAGGCAGTGTAGCCCCGGGCAGAGCTGTGCTGCTTATCCCCACCATAACTGCCCCAGGTGGGGCTGCTGCCACCGTCTGCTGCATTGCCTTGACTTCTGCTATGCTAGTTATGGCCTAGGTTATACTCCATACATCTAACCCTGATGGCTGGCAAGTGCCCAGGAGAGATGCTGTGACTGGTGACGCCCTCCTCCCTCCACCACCACCCAACAGATCTGGTGCATCAGGAGGCACGGCACTGGGATGCTGCACCATGGGAGGGTGGTAAAGCACAAGCTGCACACAGGGTTAGCACTGCCAGGGAGGAAAAGGAGGTGGGAAAGGCAATAAAGTATCTGGGAAGGAGATTGAAAGGAAAGCAGAAGGGCAAGGACAGGAGACAAAGGGAAGCACAACAAGCCTGAGGGGTGGGACACAAGGGTAGCAAGTCAACTGGGCTACAGTCAGATGCTAAACTGCATCTAGATACTGGTTTTACATGAGGATAATTCACTGCAATTCAAGGAGAAATGGATAAACTCTTGTGTGATGTCCTCTGCAAAGCCTCCGAGATGAATGGCCACCAAGGAGGAAGGTGCGCAGGATGGGAAGAGATGCACTGGGTGAGATGAGCTACATTCTTCTCATTTCTTTAATTTTTTCCCCTGATAAGTTTTCATATTCTTCTTCAAATAATTGAAAGAGTTAAAAGCAGGTGCATCACGCAGGCATTGAGAGTTCACATATTCTGTGTCGAATGAATGGGCCCTTCAGATACCCAGATCTTGGCGCCTGTCCCCTGTACTATCTGAAGGCAGATTGATTGATTTTCAGACTTATGTGAAGGGAAGAAAAAGGAAGAAATTTCAGGTATAACACTCACCTTTATCCCACACAGAAACATTTACCAAGAAATAGTGTTAAGGAAAGTTAAATGGAAAACAGGAGACTGAGGTTTGCAGCTTAACATAGTTTTCATTTGAAAAACAACTAAAAATAGCACTTCTTTCTGAGCAGAACTTTTCTTTGTGTGTGGGCTCAAAGTCGTAGCTGTTTCTTTTCCTGATGAAGGGATTTTTTGGGATATTTTAGCTCCTGTTTGCAATAGAAGCCAACAGAGATAGGGGAAAATGAGCTCATTCCTATTTTGGCTTGTACATCATCGTAATTCTTAACTGTTTTCCAGCAGCAGGGTACTTCTGCTGGTGCAGGAGGCAGACAGTGAGCAGCCTGGTTTGTTTCCAGACTGCACTCTGGATCTGCAGGCCTGGCTGCTATGAACAATGTGTGTGTGTTATGAAGAACGTCCAGGAAGGACGCACCGTCCCCAGTGCCTTTGTGAGACCTGAAGCTCCTGTCGCATGGCCTGGTGCCCAGGCAGGGGCTCCTCCACCTGTGCTGATGTTCCTCCTGCTCCCCTCCCAGGGGAAGCTTCACAGGGCTTTGCTTGTTACTGGGCAGAGTACTTTCCCCATGGGTGCCCATTGGGTTTGAACAGCTATTTAAGATGCCATTGAAATATCTGTTGTAAGGAGATGTTTAATTCAAAATGGCATGGACAAAATAAGCTCCTGGCTGCTTGCATTGTTAATTTTCATGGCTTAATTTCAGACACAAGGACTTTACCTATGATAGGCTGCATCAGGTCGCTGAACAGAGTAACTGGTACTAGCGTGAGGAATTTTTATCAAGATAATCACATCCATACTACAACTTGTGCCAGCACTACTTTGTAAAGTAGGGTAGGAGTCAGTCACCTACTGAAGCTGCCAAAGGCAGCCCACAGATGGACTTTGGCATCCAGGGAGCACAGATAAAACATGGTGCATCAGAAGCTGTGTCTCCTGAGAGAGGCTCCTGAAGTCCAGCCTCAGCAAGAGCCAGATTTCACTTTGTGCAGACACGAGATGATGCTGAGCAGGTCACTGGGGGCACTGAGACTGTGAGAAACCAGCACCTCCTGGCTCCTGAGGAGTTTTTACTGGCAGGAATTCACTGCAAATGTAAAACTGCAGCCGGACACACCAGCCCTAAATGGTCCCTGACCACTGAGGTGGGAGTATGGCTTTTTTTCCTCACATTCCTGATCGTAATGGAAATACTTCCAAATGTGGCACAGCCCTCAGAGAATATGGGCTGCTCTGTCACTACAAGGGGAGGCCTATTTACCTTATCTTGGGAAGCATCAGGTTAGCGGGGATCTTATAGCGAGGGGAAAGAATGTAAAATGTCATTCTGAAATATGCCCAAACTCCTCCCATGTTCACTAGATGATCTGTAAAATAATTAGACCTGCAAATCATTGGCTAATGCTTCAGATTGCACAGCTCAGTGGGATTTGGCAGAAGAAGTCTTCAAAATGTGCCAGCAACACATAACATTGTTTATTACCCAGGTGTTCTTGCAAAATCACTTCACTAAACAACAGAATGCATAACCTCGCTGCAGACAAACTTACCCTGGTTTTCTAGTACACAGGTATGTAAGAAAGTGATCTATTACCATTACTCTTATTCTACTTAAAGAGAATTCCATTAACTCATTCATAAAGTTACTACAGTATGAAGGCAACTGCACAATAATATAAGGTATAAGTGCAAAGGCAGATCTCCAGCTCTCTTCAACAACATCAAGCTGAAATACTGTAATGCCTGTCACCTAACAACTAACTCACGGGGACACTTTTGGAAAAGAAAATCTCCCATGCCAGCAAGGAAGAAGCCAGGGATCATTTTCCTCTGATCTCCAGGTACACAGTGATCTGGTAATCAATCCTACGTTCCTGTTTCCAAAACCATGTCCCAGATAATCACTTCTCACTAGAGGTGCACCAAAAGGATTCTGGTATGTCCCCATGTCACTGTTGTGATGCCCTAAGACAAGAAAGAGCCATAAAGGAGCACAGCTGGCACCTTTCTGACCAGTGCATAGTCTGCAGAGTGGTAACTTGGTGAAAAAGCCTTTACGCATCCTCTGTTTGAAGCAGAGGTGCATGAGAGACAATCACCTCTGACCCTCACACTTCCACCCCATAGCTAGCCAGAGGAAAGCAGAGCCTTAGAAAATCTGTTTGAGGCTTAAGAAATGTACAGCCATTCCTAAAAATGTGCAATACCAAAACAAGGCACTACAGGGAAGTTCTGAGACCCCTTTAATCACTTTTCTCTCACCTTTATTGATACTACACTTTGCTCTCCCATGGCCTCTGCTTTTGAGAAAAGGAAATGTGGGGAATTCTGCTTTCCCTTTATGTAAATACATTAGTCTATGGTAAAGGATATGGAAAACTGTTCTCTCTTGTGTGAGGAAGGAGCTGAAGTAGGCTTCAGTCCTGCAAGGAATGTATAACCTCAAACCTTTACTTTTCATGAGACTTTACCCATGAGAAAGGAAATCCCTCTGCAAGACTGAAGGCTTGTAGGTGTGCTCATGTGAATCAGATTTCAGGACTGGCCTTGTACACAGTGCTTCAATTATGCTGGACTGCTTTACCTGCACTGATGGCAGGCAATGCCAGCTTAATTTTCCTAGCTCTGTTGTAGGTGAATCCTGTAGAACAGACTCTTATTTTGATAGTATTTCTCAAAATCTCAGACATGCCATATATTGTATTGTCAACTTCATTTTACAGGAAAAAAAACCCTTGTGATGCCCGAGTTTACATTAAGTGCAGCTCTGCCCACGGGACTGTTCACATAGAATCATGGAATAGTCATATTTTGGTTGTTCTGCTATGGCTTTGTCACAGACTTCCTATGTTAAAAGGAAGGGGAGATTTAAGAAGCTCCAGTGTGAATGTGTGTGTGTCTCCATATGTGTGCACTATTTGGCACTGTTTTGCTTTGCAAGCAGAATGAGGGCTTTAGAATGATCATGCATTTGCTCTTACCACATGCATAGCTGACGTTAAGGTATTTTGTCACTCCAGGCAAGCACGGACTTCCAAAATCCTGGCTAGTGACAACGATTTTGCATCTCTGTTTCCCATAACACCTTTTTGATAAAACTTCCAGCGCCGTGTAAGACAAACAGTCTGAAAGAAAAATGCACACAATAAATACACAACACTGGCATTACCAAAAATGATGGCTGCTATGTGCACAACTAGAGACACAGATCTGCTATTGATTTCAGGACTATGTTTGCCTAAGCAGGATTTCAGAATTAAATATTAAGATTTGTCAATGCAAGGAAGTGAGCTGCAATGCAAATGTGAACTTGCAGCAAGCTAAGTACCTCATGCTGCCTTCCAGGTGCCTCCTAAGGTTGCAGTAAAATTCATATCAAGCTCCAAATGGGTGCCAAATGTAAGACCTCTATGTTCTCTTCACAATGACTTTGACAAAATAAGCACATCCCAATAGCTCTCCACCTATTCCATCTCAAGATGAGTGTGTAAATAAAGGGAGATGGAATGCTGTTTGCACGTCTTTCTCTTGGTTCCTGGGTTACTGAGATGATTTGGCTGGATGCCTATTTTCAGTTCAAGTCAGGTGAGATCAATTTCTGTGTGTCACAGCAGCCAGGGCTACTGTGAAGGCTGGTGCATTAAAGGTAGCTTTTGATTTGTAATCCCTACCTGTTGCTGGTAGGAGTCCTTCTACTGTGGCGAAAAGGTCAAAGTGGGCTCAATATTTAACCAGGGAAGTATTTGGCTTTTTCCTCCCACACCAAATTCCAGGCTGTTCTAGTAAGGCTGCCACCACAAGCCAAGTTGGCATGCCTAAAGCAACCTCAATGGCCTCTACACTGCACTGCCTTCATGCCCTAATTACGGGAGGTAACCCACATCATTTTCAAAGCAGTTTAAACTACCCTTGACTTTGTGCAGATGAAGAAAGTCCAGACTGCTGAACCTCTCCCTGGGTACCGAAAAGTGTGAGCTGTGTGTAAAAACCTGCCTTGCTAACATCTGTACCCAGAACTGGTATTTTTTTATTCATTTCTTTATTATTTATTATGAAGACTGACACCTTCTACCACAATTTAGAAAAGAAGAAGACTCGATTAGCAGCATTTTGCACCAAAGCTGAAATTATGTGAATGGGAAAGTGTGTATCAGACAAACTTTAAAAGAATTGCTTTAAAAAAAAGAAAGAATGTCTCCAGATGTGATTAAGCTGCCAGTACCCCCATGTGCTAAACCACAAGCCACAAAGGAAAACCTTAGTTTTGGTTTCTAAATAGAAAATATGTAGGAATTACAAGTCTGGAGTAAGTAATATTTTGCTGAAGCTGTCTGCTTTCCAGTCAGCTTTACCTCATGCATTTTGTGACTTTCTATGGATGACAGGTATTTCTCACTCTAGTCTTCCAAGGCAAAGACATTCTAGAGGTCTGAAAACAGATTTCTCTGGGCATTTAAAGTCCTTCTTCCTATAGTAAAACTCAGACAAGAATGGCATCTCGTCATCTTTCAACTCCTGAAGCTTATCTGTGCCTGTTTTGAGGAAGAAGAAGCAATGCCTACAAACACTCCAAAGGTTCCCCAAATCAATCTTGTTTGAAAAGAAAGAGGAGGCTTGAGACTGGAGTTCCTGACAAAGAAGACTGACATTTAACCTGTGAAAATAGGGCAGATTTGTGATTTTTAGAGTTAATCATAGAATCATAGAATAGTTAGGGTTGGAAAGGACCTTAAGATCATCCAGTTCCAACCCCCCTGCCATGGGCAGGGACACCTCGCACTAAACCATGTCATCCAAGGCTCTGTCCAACCTGGCCTTGAACACTGCCGGGGATGGAGCTGACACCAGCCCTAAGTAAGTCATATCACTTGAGGGGAGCCATTGGGAGATACTGGGCTGATTTGCTTGTTTGGCAAAGGGCTCACGGGTTACCTTTGGACATGGATTTCTGGGAGAGCAACTCTTCCTTTGTGTTTTCAGAGACCTGAAATCCTAATGCCTGTGTGTCCCTGGATGCTGCTGGGCAGCCAGGGAAAGCTGACCCAAAACACTGGATAGTTCTGATTAACTCAGCCATTCTAGTTTTCCTCCAGTTTAGTTTTTTAGATGAGTTGTGATATATTTGGGTGGACATTTTAGGCAGCCAAGTAGCTTATTTTGGGAAGTACAAAAACAACTCAGGAGTATCAGAAGGAATTATCAGATGATTCATAATTTAATGGATTTGGAGCACAACAGCAATCTGGCAAACTGAATTATGTTTTCTACAAATTTCCTGGGAGCTACTCACAGTGTCTTAAAAAACAGGAGGCTGGTTTTCCATAAATTCAGTGATACAGTGAGTACATGTTTCATTCTGCCTTGGGCAGACGTTTTCTCGTGTTTTCTGTGGACGTTAATGGTTCCTTATCATCTATTTTCATGTTGGATTTGGCTCTTCTACATGAGGAGCTGGTTGTCATGTGCCTGCAGGCTCTTGGCAGACCAGTTTCTGGAGAGCTTCCCAAGGCTTGCCTGGTGTCACAGGTGAGTAAATGCAAATCAAGGCAGGCTTACTTTTGCAGGACAGCACAGTTGCTAACTGGAAAGACCTATAATAAACACCCTCCCCCATTCAACAGCTTCCTGTGTTCTAACAAGATCTTGGTTTTTGGTGATTCAGTCAAAAAATGTTCAGTTTTTTTCTCTCTGGTTCACGTGTGTCCTTGCTATCTCCCCACCAGCTCTCCCTGCAGCTATGATGCCAGCTGAGCAATGATTTCAGCTCCAAGGAATTCTGTGTACTTGGTACCAAAGGCCACTTTCTCAACACCTGCAGGTTCATCTGTACAATCTCACATGAGCAGACATTACAGAAGCGTGTCTGCACCAAAGTCAGAGGAATCAGTGTGTGCTGAAGAGATGTTCAAGCTATTATCATCAGCCAAAAATGCTTGATTCTAATAGCAATCCATCTCCAGCAACGCAGAGCTCGTGCTAGGAACAACTTACCCTCCTTCTGGTCAAACACCTTACTGAAGTGTCTGAATGTGGACAGGATTCAGTCAGTGCTGCATTTTAAGTAAATGAGTGAATGGTCCCATTGAACAGTCCCAAAGATCACCAATCAGGAGATGAACATAAATATGCAATGTGCTTTCTTTCTGAATAAGTAACGTTTGAGCTACACATAGAATCATAGAGTATTTTGAGCTGAAAGGGACCATAAGGATCATCGAGTGCAACTCCCTGCTCCTCGCAGGACTGCCTAAAACTAAATAATTCATGTTTATGGAGCTTGCTAAATTGGTACCATACATTTAAAATAAACTGCCTCTTAAAAGGCAGTTTATTGTGTTCCCAATGTGCTAGAAGGCTGGTGGCATCCACCAGCAGTGGTGGAAGAGGCAGTGGTGTGTGGCTGGGAAAACACTCCATTCTTCCTGCCTTTCTCCCAGAGTTTCCAGTTACACACCAAGACTGTTGGTGGATCTTTTGAAACAGACACTTATATGGATAGCATGGAGATACGGGTGTCAAGAAGAGGTTCTTAATGCAGTAATAAACTATCAGATCTGACTGCAGCCATTTCACAGTTAGAGTAAAAAGCATTGTTTGTGGAGGAAAGGCTCTTTCAGCTCCCTAATTAGTTTTGTTTAGGAACGTTTTGGCATGCAAATGGCATGCTATAAATCATGCAAGCTTTAATGAGAAGCAATTTGTCTTCTGGTTTCTTAAAGCTTTTCTCAATTCAGACAGGAGGAGCTTTCCCTCCCTTTCTTTCCGCTCTGCCACACAAGACCTCCAGGTGATGGAGCAGCCAGAGCTGGCCTGAGCATCTTGTGCCAAGCTCTGGCTACAGCATCCTGTCTCACTCTCCAAACACTACTAATCGATATCTTCTCCCACATCACTATGCACAAGGCAAGCCTCAAGACATGGTGGGTAGGGAATGTGTCTCAAACATAGACCTGCATGACATAAAAAGTAATGTGCTCATGAAGGACCAGGGCACCCAAGAAAGAAACCCCTCCACAATTTGTCACTCCAGTACTGGAGCCCAGCTGCTTCTTGCTTTTCATTCCAAACTGCTGGCTTCACACTGCTTTATGCATTCTGGACTGTGTCTACCCGCAAAAGAATAAGGAGCTTGCTTTTAAAATCAACTGAAAGCAAAGATTTCACACTACCAAATTGGGATGGCTTGTGCTTTGTGGAGCCCAAATATCAGCTGTGGGGATAAGAATTGACAAAGGGAAACTATGGAGTTTGGAGCAAGCTAAGGGTGCAGACTCCTAAAGAAAGTTACCATAATAATATGGTAATTTATGCAAGAGCATGGCACACTGGGTCCTGACTATGCATCAGAAAAGGGCCATTTGAACCGCTGATTCTAGCAAAAACACACAATATGACCAGCAGCACTTACAAAAAGTGGGGCCAATACCTTTATATTCCAGGTCCAAATATTGCCAGTAAACACGGCAGTGTTATATGCTAAAAATACTGCTTACTGCCAGCACAGGCCATTCCTCACAAGTGAACAGAGCACCAGGGCTTTCTGTAAAGCTGCACCCTCTCTCTCCCTCTCACTTCAGTGCCTGTTGTGAGGCCCTTGTAAGCCTGCACAAGATTAGCCCATTGCTTGGCTTTATTTACAAACAACTCTGAGTTCAGAATCCAGTCTGTATTTTGCACCAAAAAAACCCAACCCAAACTTGGTCCTTCCCTCCTATATATGCACGGAGTGGGGGAACCACCTGCCAGCATTAACACAAGGACAAGAGACAAGTGGAGCTCTGTGCTTGGTGGCAGCAGCAGGGATAAGACTCCCTCTGCTGAAATGCTTGCTGCTTTCTTGTGCACCATTTGGGCCTGCACGTACACAGGCAGGAGTTCCTTCCCTTGTTTTAGACTTGCATGCCCAAACAGTTAAAAAATCTAAGCTAGAAAGAACTATACACAACAAAACCCCTGAACTGCTGGCAAATGAAATATTAATGGATGAAGTGATGTGCGTCTGAGTGTGCTTCAAGCAACTCCAAACAGCTGCTCAGCCAAATGTCACCTTCCCTGTTCATCTATCTCAGCAGAAAGCTAACTGGACTCTAAGAATAGTGGCTTCTCTCTTCTTCCCTTCAAACAA